ATCACAGTGCGATTATTGGAAACCACTAGTAATATAAGATACAAAAGAGAACATCTGGTCAAATAAAATCTCCAGATTCTTTACAGTGGCTACTCAGGATAATACTATTAAAAACCATTTATTTTTAGTACACCAATGAGTGACAATATTTACCTTGGCCTGGAGAGTGATGCACCAGTTTTGATGCGGTGATATAGTGGACACACTTCTATTCTATGAATATATTAAACAGAAGTGGTCTAAAGTTAGAACCCAGAGGCACACCAGAAGTTGGGACAAAAGCCCTCAATGTCGACGATGAACCACATAGGGCCCCAAACACTGAAAGCAGCGTATCGTATTCAATTAGTAAGACATCTATCTTTCCAAATGCTTTGTGGAAATCAGTGTAGATAACGTCAACTTAACCTTACTGTTCAGTGAGTCACAGACATGAGAAAACAGGGATAAGTCGCTGAACCATGTTATTCCGTAGAGGATTTATTTCGAAATTGAGCAAAGATAACTTCATGCAATATCATCGAAAAATTGGAGAAAATCTACATAGATGGATAATTTTCACTTGATTAAGAATGGGATAAACAATTTTTCAAGGTTCTGGATGAACACGGAGTGCGTAGGAACGATCTCTCCCTCGTCAGGACCAGCAGTCATTTTGTTTTTGAGTGCTTTGCTTGCTAACAAGACATCCTGGATGGTAAGATATATATGTTGACAAGATCAGAATTAAGGGACATGGTTGAAGATGAGCATGGATCTGGCTGGGATATCGTGTAAACGACACCAAAATACTTATATATAAATTGGGGACAGGTAGAGACCTGAGTCGCGATTAAGATTGTTAGGTTGATTACATGTAAGAATTTTTGTTTTATCAAATAAAATTTTATGCCCGGTTTCATGAGTGTGTTCGGCAACAGCTGATGAGTTTATCTGTCTTAGTCGTAAGGCTCTTTCGTGTTCCTTGAGCCTAGTTGATATTTTTCGTCCGGTCTCTCAAATGTATTCTTTGTCGCATATGCATGGAATGCTGTAAACTCCTGGCGTCTCAAATGGAATTTTGTCTTTGACGGACCGCAGATGTTGAGAGATTTTTTCCTCTCTCCGACGCAGGAGGAATCCAGAAGTTTTGTAGAAAGCATTACAGTAGCCTGTGGAAGTGTTTTTGAAAAAAAAAAAGGTACAGAGTAAAATACGAGCCAGTCAAGGTCTGAGGAAGCCAACAGGACGATTGGCGAAACGTCAGCAATTTCGACTCAGCAAAAACCGACGCAGGCGGAATCCAGAAGTTTTGTAAAAAGTAAGAACCTATTGGCTCAAAAACTTAAGGTAATGGTGTGGAATGACATCAACCCACTATTCAGAGCTGCTGTTAACAAGATTAGGATAGCCATGTTAATATCCAACCTCCGTTAGAAGGAACGAGAAGAAGAAGAAGGTTGCCACAAAAGTGATCGTTGTATTTAATCAATTTGGTGAAAGCTCTTTTCAATGATTCCATGTTTGAGGCATTCTGAAGCTATTGGCATTTATTTCCGACATCCCCTACTTTATTTTTTTCACCCCACTTTTATAGATAGGACTGAGTGTCCTTAATTACAATGCGAGAAAGTTGAATGTTTACGGAAAACCTCGACGCCGGACCTATCGGCAATATGAGAATAACGAAGATTAAGTCTCGGCCGATTAAATAAAACTCGACTTTCCTTTTTCTAATAAAACTGTCAATATTTTCTCAGCAAATATACGACCGCAAACGCCGCAAGCCGCCACCGCCTGCCCGGTCGCGAGTAAACGACACTGGAAATTGGAAAATCTGACAAATATATCGCGACGGAAAAGTGCCGGATCGATTGTGGGAAAAAGAAAATGGGCTGTTGTTGAGAAACGCCGCGTTCCGCGTACTCGTCTAAATGCGGGTTCGAATGACGTCGAATTTATTCGTCCCGCACTTTTCCGCGATTTTCTAGTATAACGCTTGCCGGTGAAAATTTTAACGATGCTTTTGGTTTTTTTATATTTTTTGAGAGCTCATTCTCTACTCTCGCGCGAAAGTTTCTAAAAACTTTTTCCTAATCTTTGATGTTGGCACGGGTTTGGTGAGTAGCAGGGTTTTCCCTAGTAATTTGCCACTCGTTAAAAACGGTGCTTTAACGAAAGTTTTACAATTATATCTCAAACATTTTAATATACTGTGCAGAAAAAACAAATACCACCTACACTGTGGCTAGTTTTTGATTTCCAGATTATTTAATAAACTTAATCAGAAAGTGCCGATGTAGTCAAAAAATAAGATAAGATGAAGATGAGTCTAGACTTCTATCCACAAAGAGGTGTGAGATAAAGGTGCGTCTTATCACCTACACTGATTTCCAGATCATTTAATCAACTTAATCCAAAACATTAACTTTGAATATATCTATGTGGTCGAAAAAAAAAGACATGATGAAGATGAGTCTAGACTTCTATCCACAAAGAGGTGTGAGACAAAGGTGCGTTTTATCACCTACACACACACATCTATGGCTAAGCTTTAATGAAGAACTCCCTTGATGAGTGGGAGGGTAAAATTCTTGTGAGTTCTAATAAGCAACTTACGCTGTGCTGATGACACCACCAGAGAGTGAAAAGTTCCGTGGAATAATAAATGATAATGATAAAAATGATGCTGGATAAGCCTAGCCTAGTAAACAGGACTCATCTGCTTGACGATTTCGAAAGGATAAACAACGTTACATATCTGGGGTCAACCAATAAACATGGGGGGATTAGTAGACAAAGTTAAATGAAGAATAGCGTTAGTAAAGACTTACCAAGATCTCATACATTACCAAAAAAACACTAAAATGAATCGGATCCGAACTCAAATCAGATCAACTGGAGCATAATTGGAATTGGACCGTAGGACCGTAAATACTGAATTCTCTAAGTTTGGAGAAGTTACAAAAATATACATTGATTCAGGGAAAACAGTTGCAAAAGTATACCTGTACAATCTTCAGCAGCTTAGAAAAGCATGTCAGCAGCTCCATAAGAAATTTGACTGCGCATCGAATTTAGTAAGGATCAATTTTTTGACCACCGGACCCAACAGCAAATAGACAATTATAATAATAGATGACAGATATACTTCAGGGAAACGACCCTGCCCACGCGAGCCTTGGTTAGATATACCAAAACCATACGGGGGAAACCAATGCCCCATCCCTTTACTCCTTCCCAAACCAAATATCCCCCACTAATTGCTCCTTATTACCATGTCAGACTGCGGAAGCAATAAAAATAGAAATCCCTTGCTAATATATGCCGGGCCAATAATACAGTCTGTAGTCACAAAAATCAAAATTGGATATTAGAGTAAAAGGCAGCTTGAAGGAAGGTAACGGGAACCCACCTTCATGATTATCATAATTTGTCCCAAGAGAATCCGGAGGGTAATAGTTCCTCACTCGGCTAAGAATTGTGGTCACTTACAGGTAAGGTACGCAAATATATTGATTCCTTTGAACGTGGTGCTACAGAAGATTGCTTAGAATTCCATTGACTGCAAGGAAAACTATTCAGTCGATACTAGAAGAGTTACGTGCATGCATGAAGAAAGTTTTGCAATATTTTAGATAGACTTATCGTGAGGGGAGACGTACTGGGAAGAGAAGTAGAGGCAGATCGTCTATGCGATGGTCCGATCAAATCATAGAACAATCCCTTCGCTTATCGTTTCGCCAGGCAGAAGATCGAGAAATATGGAAGCAGAAAATAGCAAGGTAATACAGGTATTTCAAAGATGTCACGGTGCTCACAACTAAGGAAAAGAGCAGAGTAAGAGATTTTTTAAAGAATTTTTTTTTATTGTTTTATCCGCTAACTACCAAAATTTTTCAAATAAAAATCTAAAACTTCGTATTTGTATGTCTTAATTAAAAAAAAAAAGATGAGAAATTATAAGGAAACCCGCAGTGGAATTTTTGATTAAAATGTTTGCTATAATAATAATAAAATCGCAAATACAAATATTAATGGAACATTATAATTACTAATCGAGAACTCAAATTTTCGGATTCTGTTCTGTTGTATGCGACCTTCTATGGAAAGATGATTTTTGAATTTTAAATTTAAATTATTTAAACTTAAAATTTAAAAAATATTTTTTTCGTAGTACCTTCCCGAAAATAGTGTTTATAATAAATGCACAAAAAATTAAAGCATATTTTCAAGGTGTATTTAATATTCATTAAAAATAACATAAAGTAATTACTTAGTAACTACAAAATAAAATAATAAAATAAATGAAAAAAAATGTATTGTAAATATTTTAATATTTTTTATGAAATAAACTTATTCCTCTGTTTATTTGCTATTGAAGTGTAAAAATTTCAATATAATTATTCTGCGACTCCCGATGTTATAATTAATTGTTAGAACCTTCTACTATTAAAATGTATATATAATTTTAAAAAATATTAAACGTAAAACTGCTTAACAGTCTTCGTCGAAATTATTATTTAATTTAATTTATTAACTATATATACAGTTTTTTCAATTTCGTTGCAGGTTTCTGTCCAACACATTATTGTCGCAAAATATTAAAATGACCGGCGCTATTGAAATGCTATTCGGGTATATTTTTTTCGAATGGCGAAAAATAATTAAACGCAACCGAAACAGAAACTGGCGTTAAAAATTTTTAATGGAATTTTAAAATCCGCACTTTGGTCGCGATTTGGCACCCCATTGGTTTAGAAAACTTTTCGACACAAAACTCGTTTCTGATGATTTTTCATTTCGCGCGTTGATAAAGTTCTCCGACTCCTACGATTTCCTGCGACTCTTAAGCGAGGTTGTAAGAGACATCTTTCCTCTTTCGGCGGGATTCGCGACACTCTTGCGGGGATTATTCAACACCACACCGAATTTGAAGGAGATAAATTGACATTTTATTGTCTTCTTCGCGAAAAACTTTGCGAATAGCTATCTAGGCATTTGAGACATTAAACGCTTACCTTTTTGGTGTCCCGTCGTGCCGCTAGAGGTCGAATCGTCGCTGACGCGTCTAATTTTCTTGCGTCCTAACCGTTTCCGTACGTTTTTCTCGACCATTACTGGCGCGGTGTCACTGTTGGGGGTCGTCAGGGGTTCTTGGACGATATAATTACAGTTGACGTCCATTTTGACGTTGGCATCGTCGATGAATAGGGCGTCGCATGAAAAGACGTCGCTTTTGGAACAAAGCGAAGCGATTGTTTTGGAGTGGACAGGCCGTTCTCTGCAAAAACTAAATTTTATATTGCCAGATATATTTCTTTTTTTTTGTTCAATATTTTATTCAATTTTCCAGATACATTTTTCAAACAATTTTTAAAGTTAGCTCTAGAAAAAAATCTTCAATAAATATTATGTTTAGAGGTTAAACTTCTTTATAAAGAAAATAATTCATTATTCATTATGACTCCCCAATATAGTTAAATTTAAAAAAAAACGGTGCAAATGTCGTCGTCAATAAGAAATGATTTAAAAGATAAAAGGATAATAATAGTTTTTTGATTTATAATAATATAATTAATAATTATGTAATTATAATAATAAGGTATTTATTATCGTCAGGTAACAATTACTATAACAAATACTATAGAATAACTTGCTTTAAGGCAGCATCTAAACCTGACCTGGGTGAAGCGCAAAAAAAAACATTAAAATTATTTAATGGATTGCTGAAGAAAAACTACAACTTCAAAAATGAAACAGGCACAAACCCTGCAAATTAACCGGCAAATGGGCGGGGATACCTGGCTCCATTCTGAATACCATCGGAAATGAAATAGTAACTTGATATGGACATCTTCAGAGTGGAACGGAATAACTGGCCAAAGAAAATCAGGAATGAAAGAAGAAACGAAAACCACCAAGAAGCTTGAAAGATAATGTATAGGAAGCTATGTGAGCAAGAAACAGAAACAATAGAGAATAAGTTAGAGGAGAAGAGATGTCGACTCCATTATCAATTAACAGTAAACCTTTCTTTCAAATATTCCAGAACATAATATTTGTCGCTCATAACGAATAAGATTTGATGTCTTGAAGCTATTTCATGTTCTTGGAGTCTAATTGATGTTTTTGCTCTAAACTCAAACGAAATTTTGTCTTTGACGGACCGAAGATGTTGAGAGATCGTTGACCAAATGGTAAATCTGGTTGTTAAGTTATATTTCTTATGTAGTCCTATCTTTTGAATGAAAGGAAGGACAACAGTGGCAAGTACGGGGTTGCTTTCGGATTCGTGGTTTTTGGAAGGTTCAGTGACTCGGGATAAGATAGTTTTACAGCTCTGTAAACAAGAGAGTTGATAACCGATGATGTCAATGCATTAAGGTGTCGGTCTGTGTTGCTTAAGTTTTCTGTCAACGGAATGGCCCAATTTTAGGTCTGATTTTCTATTGACAAGAATATCGAAGAATGGGAGGATATTACTTTCTAATTCAATTGTAAAACGTATGCCACGGTGTTAGGAGTTTAAAGAAAATCTCGGGAGGATTCTTGACCATGAAGCTAAATAACAAAAGTTATCATCAACGTAGCGTCTCCATAGTTTTTTTTATAGAAGGTGTCGAGGGCTTTCTTCTCAAAAGCTTGCATAAAAATATATTCGCGATGACTGGTGATAATGGAGAACCTATAGCTGTTTCGAACGTTTGTTCCTGAAGCATTTTTCAATTAGATGTTGGTTCCAGATTCTGGGATTTTAATATATCTGAAATAATGTTTAATATAGAAGCTAGAGAATATGTTGGAGCACCAATGATGCTGACAATATTTCGCAGGAGTGTTTCCGAGTGCTAGGGTAGGTGCGTAGAGACGAAGAATTTTAGATTCGTTCAGAATGACAGATTTTTCTATAGATAATAACAGATTTAAGTATGCGGATCTTTTTTAAATTGACGACAGGATCCGTGTGTAAGAATATCTGGAAATTTTTGCGTTCAGGCTTTGGAATATTAGATTAAGGTGGTTTTGGATTTTTCTTTCTTTTACGATAACACCTGGGGTAAGGAAGAGGTTGGACCCGTTTGCAAGAACTGATATTTCCATCTCAGAAAGTTGGTGTGATGATACATTTACCTTGTTAGTGGAGAAGAGTGTGATGGTTTCGATAGTGTTGGCGTTAATTTTTCAAATTTTTGAATGTGATTCTGGGTAGAAACAAAAAGACAGATCAGTGTTAGCACGAGGATTGAGAAAGCGTCAGCAACTTTATCAACAACCGATGCAGGAGGGATCCAGAAGATTTGCAAATAGTATAGTAGCCTGTGGAAGTTTCCTTGAACAAAAATATTTGATAAATTTTCAAAATAGTATTAATTTCTACTCAAGACTTTGTCGAGTTAAGATCAGTAGTTAAAAATATGAAACGAAATAGGGCCTATCTCGACGTCGAATTTTGTAGTTTTTGTCTACGTTGCGTCTCAGAAGCTTCCAAAAATGGTGCAAAGTAATGGAGTCGCTTACAATTTTTTTTGTCTTTTTAATCCTGAAATAGCGATGAGGGATATTAACATTTGAGAATTAAATACTCTTTTGTTTAAGCAGTGACTAGTGACATTAAGTTTGTTTTTGACGAATTGAGCTTAACACTGTTTATGATCTTACTCTCACTCATCTTTTTCGATTTAAATTGACATTATTTCCAATACAAACTCGCGAGCACTTAGTAATATTTGTGTTACAAAAAAAGTTACGTTTCAAGTTTCTGGATACGTTTGGGGGACCATCTCGCTTGGATAGCATTGGGATCGCTAGATTGTCGAGTGTATTTGGCCATCTTCTTGCTGAGGCTCTTTTCTACGTCATTTTTCTCGGACCTGGACCTCCGTACTGCGCAACTATAATGAAGAAAAAAAAAGGAATAGTATGACGTATTCGATAGGGGAAGTTTAAAAATAGTTTTAAAATAACCGTGAGTATTTCACTATTCAAACATTTTCAAATATCGCGTAACAATTTTCGATTTTCCGTGGTAGCAAAAATTGGGAATTTTTACCGAAACACCGTCATCCACACTTTCAACGGAAATATCAAAAGGACAAAACCGTACTTCTATATCGCTATCTACTTACACGTTACCTACAAAGTCCTATCTTTGCACTTACCGAAAATTACTTTCAACTGGATCGGACAATGGCTGAAAAGTATCGGGGTTTTCTTTCTCGTTGCTTTCCCGACGACTTCCGTATTCGCCGTGACATCTCCGCCTATGATTCGAACTGAAACTCTCGTCGCTGATTACCAAAATGCCGGCACGACTTTGACGCAGTTTGTATTTTTTTTCCTTCACGTCGGTTATCTATAAACAAAGAGCACGATTGTCCCTCCAAATTAATCAAACAATGTGTTCATATTGAATGACAATTGGATATTGCAGAGACAGTGGAATAATTCTTGATTATACAATAACCTGTACTCCAGAAAAAGATGAGAATGCGGAGAGAATAAACAGGAGTTTGTCATTGAGCGCAAACACAATGATTACTGAGTCACCAATGCCTAAGGAATTTTGGCGAAAAGCTATAAGAACAGCAAACTATGTATTAAACAGGTCACTATTAGAATGTGTGCCTGCAAATTGGTATCAGTAATTTTAGCAAGTTCCAGGATAAGGCAACAGATGAAGCCTGGAATCATCTTAAGCAAGTTCTAAGATCTTAAGGAGAACCACAAACACTTATTTGGAATTTTGTAGAAGGGGTAATGTAGACATGACAGAAAATCTGTTACAAGGATTTATTTTTAAACTTTTTGGAAATATACTAAGTTGGACTACTAAGAAATAAATATTTATATCTCTTTCCACAATTGAAGCGGAGTTGGTAGCTTTATGTTCTGCAGTTGGTGAGTTTGGCTAAAGAAGTTACTGTTAGACTTTGAATTACATTTTAAAAGTGTGACATTCTTTGAAAATAATCAAGGTTGTTTGTCAATCATTACAAATCCAACAGGGTTTAACATATGGACATTAATTTATACTGAATCTGCGGAAGAAAAAGCCGACATGTTAACAAAGGGATTGACGTCTGTATCTTTAATAAGGTGTGTTTAGTTCTACATTGCAATAGAGAACCGTAGTGAATGAATAAGTGGTGAAACTTATTTCCAAGACATAATATAAATATTATATTATATTTATTTGATAACCAAAAAGTTATATTCTTTTTTTTATACATTTCACAATACAGCAGTCCTCACTCTTTTGTTTGCTCCATTGATTTATTAGAGTCGTCTTTGTTGTTGTTGATTATTCTGTGGTCACGTACACCTATTCCGACCATGACGTCCAAAGTGTATTGATATTTTAAATGATTCCGGAAACTGTTCGGGCTCCTTTTAAAGCCTTTGTTAACCTATTTTAGCCCCCGTTTATAGGGTTTAAACATTTCAACTTCAGAACTGTTATCAATATATAATATAATCTTTATGAGTTGGTTAAACTGTTAAAATGTCATTCGTGTAAGTATCAAGCAAGTGTGCTCCATTGTTATTTATTGTCAGTGTAAAACAAGCATTACATTTTTTTTCTGTACTAAAGGTTTACAATAACGAGATGGCAGAACCGGCAGAACCGTACAACATGACTTCGATTGTAATAATGACCTAGCAAAAATATGAAATTATTAAAAAATTATATTAATTATATAAAATTAATATTTATAAAGTTGCTTGTATTTTTGGGAACGTTTAACGAAAGTTAAATATTTTACAGTCACTTATTTGACATATTTCGCTTTATGTCCCAATAACACTCTTATTTCTGAAAAATGTCAATGTCAAATGTCAAAAACTTGTTATATAAAGCTAGAGTGGCCTTAAACGGTACCTTAGTTGTTAACAATTAATGAAAATCAATTACCTCCATATGCTTAGGCCTGTTGTCACAGAACACCGTTTCAGCGGTGGCCAAACAATACGTGGGGTTTTTCTTTTTATTGGTGGCTCCCGCGGGATCCAACGGGATATCGTCCGTTACAATAAACTTTCGGAATCCATCTATTTCCGCACGTTTCAGACTTTCCTCTTTATATTTCGCCATTTTTTTGAATAAGTCATCGCTCGCAGAACGACTGTGACGCTGTCTTCTCGCACCTGCCGCGTCGGATAGGAATCTTTTGGGATGTTGGGTTGTTGCCTGTTGATTCCCTGTACACGAAAAAGCGCATATTGAGTTTCTAGAAAGCACAATTTGAGTTATAGCGTTAATAATGTGATATATAACATCGATTAGAAAGTTGTAGGTTTATTTTTTTTTGGTTTTTGGAAATTACTATAACCAACGACTTCATTTATTTCCTTTATTTTATTTGGGATACTGTAAAATGGAATATCAAAATATCGTATATTCCTATTTCTTCCATTTCAATCATATTTTTATATTTATATATGTTAAAACAGTGTCTTATAAATAATACGTCAACAATATGTTTTTTCGATAAAAATAATTTTATTCTATTTTACTGAGAATCCTTAGTATGTTTGACACAATTGGAATCGTAAACTATATTTTAGGTATGCTTCATTAATTTTATTTTGTCTACTATAGTTAACTTCATTTTTATCATTCAGTTAAAAATTATAGTACTATGAGACGATGCTGAACAATTTGTAGTTGTTATATATTTAACATACTTTTATATAATTAAACTAAGTATTTTTGCCATAAACTCTATTTTTTTGACTTATAATGAAGTTTGGAAAAATAAGCTACAGTAGTGTAAAAAGTCAAGTATAAAATGAAAAATTAAATTTTAATATACAGGGTTTTTTTTTGTTTCAAATATTTTTGGAAATTACTGTTTCCATTTTGGAAATAAGGGAATTTTTATTGCATATGGTTGATAGATTTGTGATTTATTGGTTGATGAATGACCAGGTGCTTTCGGAGGCAAGCAAAAACAGTTTCAATAATTATTAACATCTCATAACTGTTAACTGTTATACTGGGATTATCAAAAAACAGTCAACTTCTAGGACAAATAGGATATTATAGAGAAACGTTGCTTTGGTTAATAAACATAAGTCCGGAAGCGCCTCCTTTTGTAAATGAAACTCAAGGAAAACCTTTTTTTAAATTATGCTGTATATGCAACTTAATTTGTATTGTATTGTAACGAATGAAAAGACTATATTCGATATTTTACTTCTTTTCATCCCCATAACATTAAACAATAAAACAATATAAATAAAGTGTGAAGTTTTCTTTAAAAAACTTAAATGAATGGAGGTCACAAATATGCTTTAAAAAATTTTATTATTCTTTTTTATAGGGGCGTCACTAAAGAGGGATGCCATTTATTTCATTCATGAACTTCTTTTTATTTTTTTTACCAAACATAATTAAAGAAAAAACGTACTCCTTGGAATTGCACCTATTTTGGGGTTTTAACAATAATACTCACCAAATTACTAAATTATTGTAAGCAGGCAATTTTTTGACACTTTTTTGGAGCAAGCTAATTATTGAAAGTTGTAAATCCATAATTTTTGGCACCCCCTACTCCTCTAGCCCCAAACAGCTGTGTTGTGAGGAAATAATTGAAATAATCGAAATAAATTATTTTTTTATTGTTTATACCCCGGGAAATGAAACATGAATAAAGTAACGCTCAATATACTTAATCTAAGGTAAGTATATACATTTTAGAATCTCGAACTCGCAGATTAGAATTTTCACCTATTAAAAAAAAAACAAAGGTTTTTGTAAAGGTTACCAATTTTTTTCAATTTTTTCCATTTTAATCGCACTGTTCGGATATTTTCTTTGAGGCCACTGCCTGCCTCGTGCGTCTCCCCTGAATTTAAGGAATAATCATGTGAGAAAACGAAGCACGACTATTAAAGTTTGTTAGTAGTAATCGAAAGTATTTGGTCAAACTCCATTTAAGTATCTTAAGCTGTCTGAAAAATAAAAAATAAAATTATTTTTTCAGCACTCTGAAAGAAATCGTTTTCAGAAATTGACAATATCGAGAAGGAAATCTAAACAATGCGACCAGACACTAACAGAAAACCAAAAAAAAAAAAATAGAAATTAGAGTAGATGAGAAAGTAATAGAATAAATCATATTGGAAGAAATAGGAAGACATGAGCATTTAAATATTAGAATGGAAAAAACAAACAAAGTATACTATGCATTGAATAAAGGGTTCGTAAATAAACATGAATTTCTTTGAGAAGAGCAAAAAAAATCATCAGAAGGGGCAAAATTAGGACTAGCTATTTGCAAAAAAGAGGTACCAGTTAAAAGAGTTCGGTTAAGTGAAATACAGGAGAAAGATCTTGGAAGACCTTGAATAGAAGCTAAAAATTCAATACTAAATAGAGAAAAAGAACCTTTTTTTGCACCCTTATGGCGGAAAGGGACTGTATGTATGATTTTTTTGGGATTCGTTTTACAGAGATCTTCCGATGGAGGGATATTGGGGTACTTGTATAATTGCAATAATAATGATCGATAAGGCGTTACCTTTTCCGCCCAAGATGTCGCTGCGCGACTTTTGCAGCCGATACGCCCCCTCCCCGCCGCACGTTCCTGGACCGGTATTGCTGTCGGGTTGTTTCGGATCTTTTTTTGGCTGGTAATCGCGTTTAGCACCTGGCGACTTCTCCCCGCTTTTATCCCATTTTCCCGACGCAACATCCGTTTTGTCCGTTTTATTGAATTTAACGCCGTTTATCCGCCTGAAAATCGACTTTGTTGACAAATCGTTCGCTGCCGGATCGCTTAGTTACTGGCGAAACTGCTGGACGCCGCGAAACTGAGAAAACTGTTTTCAAAACTACACATCTGGAAAACCATAAAAGATATTTGGACAAGGATTTCGCTGGTCGGGTGCTTCCTGTTTTCGGTATCACTGCGCGTTTACAGATTTTTTTTTATTTTATCATTTTTGTTATTCAAAGTGAAAAAGCAGCTATTGCAAATTTCGTTCGGGTGGTACCATTTCGAGTATCATGCAGCAATGCCCGGTGGTTAAGTTACAGTACACCGTAGAATATCGAGATACAACCTATTGCTCGTCTACCCTGTATATATTTTAGCCCAGCTAGAGTTTACGTACGCTGAGAATGAATATATTTGATTCCGTTCGCGTTTAATGATAATTGCCATAGATGCAATTATTTTCAAAAATCAAAAAAAAAGCAGTAAAAAGAAACGTTTGAGCTACAACATGTACAGAAAAAATGCAAAAAATTTTCTCCAAATTATTGAAAGAATTGCAAGAAGAAGGTATAAAATCATATAGACATTTTTTGCTCTTTTTGTTCCTTGACACTTTTTTGGTTTGTCACTGTTCATTTGATATCTGACAATGACGATAATGTCATTTCCTTCTCACTTCTACTTATTTATACTTAATTTTACTTACTTATACTTAATGAGTCATAGAAAGTATTCCCCCTAAATATTTACGTCGCAATAAACGAATAAAATTGGAAATGGACAATTTCCCGCTAAAAAGTGGTCATTTCAGCTGTTGGTGACGGCACGAAGTATGCTTTCGTGTTAACAGTTATCAGCTTAACATTTTTTCGCGAGTTTTCAGTAATTGTTGGGTTGAAAATGGTTTATCGTTATTGCATCGCACCAAGTTGTAAAATTACAACCATTTCTGCTCTGGAAAACATTTTTAAATTACCGATTCAAGAAAAACAAGAAAAAATACAATTATTTAAACCGCCATGTTTACCTTTATGAAGACCATTTTAACGCAAGCCTTTTATTATTTATATAAAAATTTAAAGTACTTAAGAAATAAGAAAGAAATATATACTAGCCTAACCTCACTTTTGTTTGTTATTGTGTTTATGTTTTTAATGTAGACAGATTATTAAATTGTATGAAAATATTACAAATAACAATCACACTATGGCACGAATTAAATTCAAACGCCGAAGAAAAAAACGGACAATAAATGAAAAAGTTTTTTAGAGTTTAGAAAGACAAAAAAAATAATAAAAAACACAAGAAAGCAAAGGAAACAAACAATCGTCCTTGAGAAGTTACTTTCTACAGAGAACTTTAAATAAGTTTAAGCTTAAGCAGTTTAATTCTTCCGGAACTCCATTGTAGAGCTTATGGACAAAATTAGAGAAAGAGAGTTATTTGATGAGATGGAGTTATATCGCTACGAAATCTAAAGTTCTCCATATGCAAGTCAGTACGAAAGCTAAATTATTAGGTACTGGCGGACACTTTTTCAATATTATATCTTACGCCTACTTTCCATTGTGAAATGCAAGCACTATTTTTTAGACCATTTGTATTCTGTTGATATCACACAAATTCAAACATGGGCCGTATACAGAATGACAAAAATTAACCTGACTTAAAACCAACCAGTCAGTTGTTTTGAATGACATTGATAACAAATACACAACCAAGGCAGCGTTCATGGTATAAAAAAAGCCCCATGAAATAACAATAACGATAAGTAGCAATAAATAAATAAATTGTATTTTACGAGGTAATTTTGCATAGAAATCTAAAAATATGTGTAAAGAACTGTTGGTATTTCTCATAGTGCATCCTATTCTTTTAAGACACAATTCTACATTTATAGTTACATTTTTTTTATTTGTGCCATTTGACTTTTGGTGTTGAACTGGGGAAGTCATTTTTGTCAATGGCCACCTTCTATTTAGAACTAAATCTGTGTGACCCAACAAATAGATCATAGACTAATCTCTCAACTCCAATGGATCTCTCGCTAGTTGACCATGATTTACCTAGATCATAGACTAACTATAGCTAAAGGGCTCTAGCAGGTGTGTTTATTTCTAGTATATCTACCAATTGTTATAACGCGAATATAAGTATAAAAATAAATAGCATAGCATAAATAGATTATTTGGTGCTTTGTGCTCTTCGTTTTTGCTTGAAGTTCCCTTTATTTCAATAATAAAATGTTCAATTTTCTAAATAAAAAAAAACCTCCTCCTTCCTGTATTGTAGTTTTAGGATTTATTCTCACGGCAGCCTATTTCTCAAACAGAGATATTGAATTGAAGGGAATTTCATGTTCTCCCCATAGATCATTGCGTCTTTCTGTTCTGGTACAATATCAAACTAAACTTAAGTGTTAGGACTTTGATGCACCGTTTACTCGGATACTCCAAATATGTTATTCTGGGCGTCAGCTAAAGAAGAGCAGTTGAGAAAAAAATGATTAATTTTTTTTACATCAAGTTGGAGGAGAATAAAGTGGTTTCTTTGCTCTTGCGTTTACAATTGCGATTGGATTTGTGCGATGCAAACACAACGTACTCTCATAACCAACATTTAAACTGGACGCGCGGGCATCCTTCAAACATCGCGTTCAATATGGCCGCTGAGAGCACTGTCTGGCAGTGCTGATATTTGCTAGATATTTTTTCAAAAAAATGTCAAGATGCGATTAAATTTTCCGGGGAAATAGAGTTAAGCGTATAGTGCGTGGAATTCATGTGCATTAGCGAAAATATTACATCATCCTTTGTCTCGAAGAACCACAAATTGTTCTTACCTGGGTGAACATATTTTACGTTCCAGATCATCGCTACGGCATCTCTGCAGGTATGTCACTGGTCTCTTCCTCACGTGGGGCGGCTCTTCGTCAAACCGCGAGCTGTGCCAAGTCTGCCTTTTGGTGCCCCCCTTGTCGTTGGTTTCCACGATGAGATGACCTTTGGAGTTGTATAGTTGGATGGTCGGCATCGCTATGTGAGGCGACGACTTGGACGTCGACAGTTCCCACCGCCAATTTTTCGGTTTTTTCAATTGCAACCGGATTATTTCTTTTAGGTAGTCGTCGGCGCCAGTCATCATTCAAATATCTGCAAAATTGACGAGGAAGCGTTAGTAATGAAAAAATAAAAAGGCGAAGTTTTGAAGATCTACATCAAACTAATCGAAAGTAAGTACGGCTTCGCTCAAGCCAGTCAGGTAGGTACAATGCGTTCAATTTATCTTGATAATATTCTAATTGGCTGTAACATTTTTTTAGAGATATCAAGGTAAAAAAGAAAACGAAATTTAGGGTTGGTAGAAACTTTTTTTTTTTCTAGTGACGTATAAAACAAAACACTATCAATTTTCTGACATATAAGCCTACATCACAATTTTTTAAATGAAACATCTGTGTTGAATGGAACATCTTATTCCGATTACAATGATGTAACACAGTCTATATTTTAGTTCACTCGATTTTGACAAATCGGCAAAAATTGGAAACTTTTATATAGTTTCTAAGAGTGCCCTGACTTACAAATAAAAATATTTTTCTACTCCCGTCTGTAATAGTATATTATGCAACAAGTGCGGTAAACGGCATTTGACTCACGAGTGTTTAATAAACGAGTGAGTTAAAAAGCTTACCGAACATGTTGCATACTATACTTTTTCTACGACAGTTAGTTTTTGGGTACATTTTCGCAAAACAACACGAATATATTCACTGACATGACCGTGAGAATTGACACACGTCAAAATTCAAGGTGTGGGAATATCTCCGAAAACATCTGATTGCTCCCAAATCCCTGCGGTAAAATCCCGGAATTGTCCGAAGTGGCTCGGATCCGTGGAAAACGAAACTGACTTGGTAAATTGCTTCCCGCATGCAAGATCGGTGTATAATTAGGTATTTTATAGAAGCAAGTAGAAAAACTTTTTTTTCTACTCCCGTTACCCACGGATCTAGCGTGCGGGAAGCGTTACTTTACTACGTCTGTTTTGTTTCTCACAGATCCGGGCCAATTCGGACATTTCCGGGATTTTACCGCACGGGTTTGGGAGCAATCGAATGTTTTCGCCTTGAATTTTGACGTTTGTCAATTCTAACGGTCATGTCGGTGTATTGATGTTGTTTTGCAAAAATATACTTAAAAACTAATACACAGAAAAATGTTATGCAATATATCAGACAATTTAAATACTACCTGCGATAAGCTACAATTAAAATCTAGTGGACTAGTCGGTAAGTAACGTGACATTTATAATTTCAGTTTCCCACAGAAATTCTACATATGGGGCGCATGAACTTTAGTGGTTTTTACAGTTTTTATATTAATATCTTGCCAAGACCAATTGTACCATTTTCAAACATCCATGTCTCATAGGTCAAACAAAACAAAATTGAAGGTTAGGACCTGCTTTTTCTTGCTTATGCAACCCTAAAAATTTAATCCTCTTAAAGCTCTACCCTTGGATGATACATAACGTTTTCAAATTATGTTTATTCCGTTGTTTATCGTATCCAATAATACATCTCTCTCTGTCTAACGTACACAGTTAAAAAGAGACGACAATAGCAAAACCGATCGGAACGATAAAGGAGTACGTTTAACGTCAACTGGTAAATGTGTTGTTTGAATGGTACGAAATTTAGTAATCTGATAATCTGTTACTATTTTTAATTTGTTAAATTGTGATTTTTTGGTGACGGTCGTACAAAAAGTATAGTATGCAACATGTTTGGTAAACTCTTTATCTCACTAGTTTATTAAGCGCTCACTCCGCTCGTGCCAAATAAACTCGTGAGTCAAATGCCGTTTACTACACTTGTTGCATAATATACTATGCACCATATACTATGTTTGACATATTAGTAAACAACGTTGATGGTTGAATTATTGTTCAAGTCATTATGGTTAAAATGTTTTTTCGCGAATTTAACATCCATGAGTGATAAGTTGGATAATAAAAGTGCAGGTGCAGTGCGGTAAAGTGCATTTTGTTTTTTTGTTTACCTTGATATCTCCAAAAACTAAAAAGTTACATCCAACTAAAATATTATCAAGACAAATTGAACGCACGGCACATTTAAACCACTCAATAGGCATGCTTAACATGAAGGGATAGAAGAGGTGTATGGAGGAGGTATAAAGGGGTACATGAAGATAACACGGAAAATATGGAGTAGTTCAAATTTACCGGCACTTTTGACTCGAGCGACACCATACCTACTATGGAAGCATGGAATTTCAAATGGAGGACCCTATATCTTAATAGACATTCGAATCATGCACAATACAGCTTTTTATTGACATCTACTTTTATCGAATTCCTGTGGGTTATAAACTTAATTATTACGATACAAACTAACACACGAATTGCAATAATGTCTTTTGGGAGAAACTCAGGTAAAGAAATTTAAAAATGACATCATATATTTAACCACAGTGACACCGAGAAATTGTTCGCAGTTGAAGCTAAAGTTGGCGCTACGATGAAGACAATCTTTTCTTATAAATTGTTTACTTACGTTGAAAGATATCACTAAATAATTGTTGGGTTGATGGCAGCATAAAATTTAAACTGGTGTAAATCGAGTCAATCGTCAATCGTAAAGTAGTTGTTCAAAATTGCTTGACTGCATTTGCACCTAGTGGGACCAAATTCACGAGATCTACATAAAGTACAAGTCCAAATTCCAAATTTTAAACTTGGAGAAACTATTATCAATTGTTAAAAGTGTAGATTCTCGCCTCGATAGTCTGCAGCTTTTAGTAGGTCAACGGGATTAACAAAGTCTATGCATTTAGCCTTTAATTTGAGCATTGCTTAGTTTCCTCCATTATTAATTATTATACTAATACTACTATACCCTCGAAACAGTTCTAAATGAGAATTACTTTTATGATTGCATGTAATACGCGTCTGCTCGATAGACAAGGAAAAGCACTCAGGCGGGGAAGGGCCAAGAACGCTTTACAAATGTTTCGAGGAAATTTCATATCGCACGTTAAAGTCGCTCCTTAATTAAGGAAGTTTAATTTTGCCTTATCAACTTCCGGACGACTGCGAATGAACTTGTTAGAATCTACAATACAGTTCAGTTGTTAATATTTTGAAGTAAAAAAACATCATAGTTTCGCGAACTGGTAAATAATGAGATTCGGACGACCTCAACCTTCATCACTCATTTTCCAGACAAGCCCTCGGGTTGGAACAGGTGATGATCGAAACAGATTTGGCAAGCGTTCAGTTGACAAAATGTTATGATATACGTAACACCGTTTGAGTTTACCTCGGCGCTAGTTTTCGTTAGAAACACCAAGGACCGATGAGCACATGCACGCGCGTTGAGTCACCTCTAATAACTTGTGGATTTGACATTAAAACATGTTTTTAAAAAGCAGAATGTTTGTATAAGATTTTTCCGGGCAAAAATGCTGGCGCTGCTGCCAAATGTGCCTAACTCGAAGCAGTGTAATTTCGTTGGCAACTAGGACAATTGTAATATTCGTGACAGAGCCGCATTAAACGAATTTCAACTTGGAAATGATTAGAAAGTTCTGTCACTCGATGATCTGCTGGTACTATTACCGTGAACTGAAAACAAAACCCGTTGGAAACTCCGCACTAGTATTCTTGACAGCGATAGAATAGACAATAGCAGAACCGATCGGAACGATAAACGAGTAAGTTTAATGACAACTGCTGAATGTGTTGTTTGAATGGTACGAAATTTAGTAATTTGATAATCTGTTATTATTTTTATTTTGTTAAATTGTGTTTTTTTAGTGACGGGCGTAAAAAAAGTATAATATGCAACATGTTAGGTAAACTCTTTATTTCACTAGTTTATGAAGCACTCGCTCCGCTGGTGCCGAATAAGCTCGTGAGTCAGATGCCGTTTACCGCACTTGTCGCATAATATATTAATTATGTTTGATATATTAGTAAACAACGTTGATGGTTGAATTATTGTCCAAGTCACTATTGTTAACATGTTTTATCGCGAATTTAGCATCTTTGAAAGGAGTGACAGGCTTCAAGGATAATAAAAGTGCAACCAGAGCTCGTCGTCAGTATATTGCGCTTTATCCAGAGCACCGAGCTCCTTCAAAGCAGAAATTTCCAAGGCTGGTAAAGAAATTTTCAGAAAACGGTAACGTATTAAATGCTAAAAAGATATGCCGGAACCATAAATGGCAGAAAATCAGCCAAACACATTAGGATTCTACGAAGCACATCCAGTTTCCTCTATTACTAGAGTATTTGAAGAAACAGGTATTTTTCGGAGGTCGATTCACTCAGTTTTGAAGGAATATTAATATAATGCATTAAAATTTCGTAACTAAATGCAGAATAATGTCAAGGAAGAATGCAGTTTTGTTTGCATTTTTTTTAATAGACATAATGAGAATAACAATTTTTTGAAAAACATTTTATGGACTGATGAAAGTTCGTTCACTACAAGAAAGGGTTGTAAAAGGCAAAATTCGCGATATTGGTCTTTAAATAGTCCTAGAGAAATACACGAAATTAAAACCCAGGGGTACCAATTAATTAACGTGTGGTTTGATGTTTAAATGGGCATATTTTGTGTCCTATATTTATAGATCAAAAATTAGAACAATATATAGAAGATTCTCTAAATACCTCTAAATATATCAGCGCTGCCCCTCCTCACAATGTTGTGCAACTTAAAAATTTTCTTAACATGGAATATCCCAGGGATTGAATAGGGAACGGCGGAACTATCGATTGGACGGCCAACAGTCCCGACTTAACTTTAATGGATTTGTTTTGGGGACATAAAAAATCGCGTGCACAGAACTCCATGTAATAATCTCGTGCAACTTCGGCAACGCATTTCAGAGGCAATCAATCAGTTAAGAGACAATCCGGAAAGGTTACTAAATGCAAGACATCATACAATTAGAGTGTTTGAGAAATGTCTTCAGTAAAATGGTTGCCACAGTCACAGTATTTCGAATAGTTTTTTGTTTAGTTTTTGATCTACTTTAATTTGTAAATAAGTATTGATGTTGCACTCAGTCACGGCACTCTTTGAAATTACATAAAAATTTCCTATTTCTTAAATTGTGATTTTTTAGTGACGGTCGTAAAAAAAGTATAGTATGCAACGCGTCAAATAAACCCGTGAGTCAAATACCGTTTACCGCACTTTTTGCATAATATACTATTATTTGTCAGTCAGGTCACTCTTAGAAATTATATAAAAGTTTCCTGTTTTTGCCGATTTATCAAAATCGAGTGAACTAAAACATATTTGTGTTCGACATATTAGTAAACAACGTTGATAGTTGAATTATTGTCCGAGTCATTATTGTTAAAATGGTTTTTCGCGAATGATATGCTTCAAGTATACTTTCCGGATAATAACAGTACAATTGCAACTCGTCGTCAGTATATTAGACTTTAATTGGACTCTCGGTCATAAAATCCCCCCCCCCCTAGACATCGTAATTTCAATTTGTTGTTTTTGTAATTGCATGCAAGTCCTGTTCTGGACAAAGCAGTATTAAAATTTTATACATTATGTACCTACACCCACGTTGAAAGCGGCCAGTATTTATAATATGTTTCCCCGATGTGCAGAAAACTGAATAAAAATAACGTTCATTAAAGATCGCTTTAGCCATGAGATAGGATGATAACAATGATAGCAATAATTTATTTAGACGTGACATATTGTCATCAAAAAATAAGTTTTGAGAAGTGCTGAAGTTTCTTCCAATTAACGAAAGATAAGTTTGTCTGATCTTTTATAATTGTATATTCTCAAAACCTTGATACCTAATTAGTAATTATAATAATAATACTATACACTATGGAGGCAAGGCACGTACACACTCAAACAATGAATAAATTGGTGAAAGCACGTGACTATCAGACAACATTTTTTTAAAACCCTGTGATAAATATTGTCGTTGACCGTAGAGCAACTTTAAATTCCTATTAATTTTGAATCTCGAATTAAACCCAGACCCTTCAGGTGTCTCCGAATGGTTACACAATTAGATTAGAACAAAAAATGTTCAAATTCATATTTTATAAACGCACGGTCGAAATAGCTGTCATAAATAATTGTAAAAATACGAAGATTATTTGTTCTAATTTAATTGTGTTAAATAGGTTTTCTTATTAACTAAAAGCCACCTCAGTTAAATACGAATGGTTAAGTCACATTATTTATTTTGAATTCAATACCTATTAATTCATTGAATTTCAGTCCGTTAATCCAACAATGACTTGTTGAGATTCAGTTTTAAAAGGAAAAGGTATCGGACGCCAATTTTAGCATTTAACGCGTCAAATTGTTTTTTTGATGAATTTTTATATTATTTGTCGAAAATCCCAAGAAAATATGCTATTCCGCGGTATAAAAGAACAGCTGGGAATAAAAATTGTCCCTTTTCAACAGTCAAAAACTGATAAATCAAAAACTTACATCAAAAATTAACGCGGAACGAAACAATTTCGTATTATTATCACATTTTTCGAAAACTCAGAATGCCGCCAAACAATATGCGCGCACAATAACAGGTAAATCGGGATTTTTCGCGGCCCAGTACCTGGAAATGAGTTGAAAACTGCACGATGCCGGTGATCTACTACACATTATTTTGATCCGTTTTTCTCATCCCACTCGGTGCGAACGGACCCAAATAGCTGCGGCATACTTTCGATCGGAAAATTGTTTATCGGTTACGCGCTATTTTTATTTTTATATACATATACCGCGGTGGTGACAAGTGTCACGACTTTTTTTTTTGTTTCTGAACTTTTGCAGGCCTTGCCGGTTATTGAAAACTTTTTATGATCGCTTGACGAATATAATTTAATACTTCGCTTTATAGTTCTGCAGACTTGAAGAAATTGATTACAAATTTATTCAACCATCCAAAAATAACGTTTCTGTGTTCCCTGCGCATCCACCGTTTCCTTCTTTATTAATCTCACGAAATCTGTGAAAGAAAAATTGAACCTTTTCCAAAAGCGTAAATTGCTATTGCTTATTTTTTTACCATTGAGGTTAGAACTTCAATTAAAGTAGGAATGTAATAAATTGAATAATAACAAATGAGGTTTCTTTATTAAAAGTAGGAATCGATATAAAAACGCGCGCCACCTCGAGTTGGGAATCGGTATTCAACTCTTTCCGCCGTTGTGCTACCATCTAGCCCAACGTTCTTTTTTTAAAAAAATTGGTTTTCTGGATATTTTGTTGGTTTCATAATTACCAAAATGTTTTGTCATATAACCTCAAAAATTTTTTGCTTATTCGCCTAGGTGGGAAAGTAAAACCAGTGCCGAAATTAAAAATATTTTATTTAGGAATCAAGACAATAAATAATTTCCGCTATAACTATCGACATTTCAAGAAACAGTCTATGGCGATAACTTAAAAATTTATGAGCTTGATTCTAAACCTGACAAATCCAAGTTAAAAATTAACTAATGCAACGCAGACACTGCTACCACACTGCTATATATATACATGTCTCATTATGGTAAATATTAATTTATGATTCAGAAAAATGGTTGTCGGCAACCGTAGAGTTAGCTGTAGCCCACAAGGTCTCTTCCTTGATTAAGTATGAATTATTATAAAATAAGCACTTCAGGTTAATAATAATATGAAACATTGAAAGGTCAAATCGATTGTGATTCCAAATTAAGAGGACTGGTCCTGGCCATTGCTTTCCTGAGACTTCATAACATCCGGCAGATCTGGAGGTGAGGAATATGGTACCAAGTCGAGGGCTTCAAATGCACCACCATCATCCCTAGAAATCAATTTTAAAAATAACATATATGGACAGAAAGAAATAACGGGTACCTAATGGCAAGGCCAATAGTGGCCGGGCTCTGAGCTTTAGCGGTGTTTGAATTTAGTCCGTAATCTTGCAATGTGTTACTGTCTTCCATTATCCTATTGTCTTTGTTAAACAGCTGCTGGTTCTGGGGCGGTATTTTTAGTATTCCTGCAAAAGAAAATCACGCCTTAAACGGATTGACTGGCCTTCATAAAACTTGAATTTTACCTTCAATTATCTTCTTTAGTTCTAAAACGGTGGTGTTGTCCTTGGCGTCGGTGAAAATAGTAAGCTTTTTTCGCCGTATCATTAAAAAAACATCCTGAAAGAATGATAAAACAATCAGTTCAAAATACTTGCATGAATCGCGAAGGTTATGTTGTCATTGGAAGACGAAAATTATTGGTTTACCACTTTAAGTTTATATAATTAAATAATAGACCTACCATAATGGCTAATTTTCGGGGGATGCCTATTTCACGAGGAGAGCTTGACCGTTTGAAGAATGCATTAATTTCTACAATTTTATTGCATTAACTTTACCAAATGAATGCAAACTACTTCATATCAAAATGACAGAAATGATGCACACAAATTGGTCGGTTGAGGCAAGCTGTGCACGGAACACTTGCGCGTCATAGTTATCCCGAAAGGAGGTACGCCACGGATTTCAAAACGAAAGCGCCTCCCAAATAATCGATATCAGAAAGAAGCATTTACATCATCGGTTCATAGAGTGCGCTTTAATTATAAAAATCGATGTATAGATTTCGTTCCGAAATTGAATATATCATACGTTATACTCTTTGATTATACCATAGAGTATAAGATAGAGGGGAAGGTTGCCATTAGTTGCAATGTTAAAAACCATACACGAGTTTCAATGCCTCTAGTGATTGTGTGTTCAATTCAATTTAGAGTTTGAAAGGTAAATTGTGAAAAAAATAATTTATGTCGAATTAGTTTTATTTTTTTTTTATTTAAATATAAATAAAGTGCTGTTATCCGTTACAAGCTATTGTAGTATTTTCAGTGTGACGCATTACTTTAAACCGCCATACTTGGACAAAAATAATGAATGGCATTCGTACCTAACAGTATACGCGACCCTCCCCTCTATCTTATACTCTTTGATTATACGTAGTACAGAATACGTTAATACAGGGAATAGATTTTTGTTTCTTTAAAATCGATGCAAACCAAAGATTCGCTTGAGAAATTAGAATCCCTATTGGAAAATAACACAACAAATAGAACCAATAATTGTAATCTGCGATAATCTCCAACATATATCTGGAAAAATTCAGTCTACCGCGTTTACAGTGTCAAACTGCCACGCATCGTAAAAAAGTTTCATTATCAAATATTTGGAATAATCAGAAATTATTTCTATTATATTCCAGTTCAACGTGGAGGCACGATTCGTTGTCTGCTTCGTGTGTAACGAGAAATGGCGCGGATTACGCTCCACACCACAAAAGGACGTTTCAATGTTTAACCACCGGGCTTGTTGTTTGACGACTATTACGCTAAAATGTATCGCAGTGCGCAAAAATACCCGCAATAATAACCTCGACCAATAATCGAAACCTGCTTAGTTTACCAATTCAACAATTCGGAATTCGTTCCACGAACATTACTCTGCAAACTCCGATCCTTTTGAATTTTGGGGAAGATTTTCAACACCTAATACGCTCTAAACTGCCATTTAGACTAGATTGTAGCAAGGTTACACCTAGTGCTAATCATAAATTCGATACTATGTAGAATACGATATTTTGGGGGACAGTTGGTAAGATGGTCGTAACGGTCAACCCAAGGTGAAATTCGAATTTTGGTTGGTTTGTAGTTGGGAAAGAATAAGCATAGAATAGAATAGAGATAGAAAACTAATAAAAACAGAAATTACGTAATAAATATCGGAAACCATAACAAAAAGCAAAACGAAAATGCAAAAAAATTATGTTATTAAATGGAACAGCCAAACTTTTATTAGAGCTTCCCCTTGACTGTTTATAAGTAGGCATAGGACCGAACCGTACCATAACTGAAAAGTGAAATAATGGTGTAATAAATGTAAACTAAACTAAAGCCCTATTCATGTTGCTTAACCGTAGTGCTACTAGAAACATAGACACTTGATTACGAGGTTAGCGCCAAAATTTCCGGGCCTGACATAGATGCAGCTCCATTATCACAATAAAAACTTTGTCTTCTTTTACATATATAAGTCTTGCGTCAAATAGTTTTTTATCGATGGCATTTTAAACAAGACGTGTCCGAAAAAATGTCGCGAATAACGCAAATTGAGTAAAGAATAGTCATAAAGTTTTTGACAAAGAAGGGTTAGCGCCTAAAATTATTAAAGAAAGGCTGGATGGTGTGTACGGCCAAAATTCTCCTTCAGAGTCTGCCAGTCAACAAAAAAAGTGATGGCCACGATCTTTTGGGATTGTGAAGGAATTCTTTTGATAGATTTTAATGAAACTAATATTACGCAACATTATTACATAAATTGCGATACTGCATACGTGTAAAACGTCGAGGAAAACTGACTAGAGGCGTGCGTCTTTTGCACGATAATGCACCTGTCCATACTGCTGGTGTTGCACAAGCTGCCATTTTAGGGTGTGGGTTCCAACAGATAGATCATCCTCCCTATAGTCCAAATATGACTCCCAGCGACTATTATTTGTTTGGATATTTGAAAAAGGACTTACGTGGACAGCGGTTTAACGACGAAGTTGAGTTAAAAGAGGCTGCTTTAGCTTATTTTGCAGACAAACCAAAATAATATTTTTTTAAAGGGATTGAGTTGTTAATAAAGAGATGTAATACGTGTATTGAAGTTAAGGTGGATTATATTGAAAAATAATAAAAAATTGTTACTCTACTTTGTTTCTTTTATATTCAGGCCGGGAATTGTTGGTAATACAGGAGTTTTTGAGGCGACTATGGAAAAAATATTGAGATGGGCCGTTGTTCGCATGTGCTGTCATTTAAAATCTCGTTTTCAATTAATGATCCGGCGGCGTTCAACAACGAAGATGGCGGTTGTTAGTTCGTCAATTCGGCACGTTACATTTTTACGGTAACATTTTCTCAAAAAATGCCCAAATTTCGTTCAATGTTCTGGGAAAACGAATTAAGTATGTGGAGATCGCTGTACAGAAACAAAATGACGCAAAGTGCAGGTAAGTGATCATTCCCATTTCTACGAAAATATCATAGCCGTTCGAGGTGCGTCAGTTTTTGCCATAGTAGGGCCACTACATTATCTAAAAGCTTTATCTATTTTTTTTATCTATACAATAACCTCAGTTTGTTTGTTTGTTTGTTGTTTTGAAGTTTTTACAATAATCATTTAATTATGTCATTAAAGTTTGCGTGTGGGTAATTGCACTTATCCATGTCTAAATTTTGTCAGACAATTTAAAAAATGGTTGCGGTTATACGCTATCTATACTTTTTTGGACACGTTCCGATTATAAATCCAAAATGGTTCGCCATACGTAAATGTTAAAAAGTTTAAGCGATAAACGAGTTTACAGTGAAAATTTAAAATTTTATCCGCCCTTAAAGAAAGATGAAGGACTATGTTCGAGATGACTTTCGACCCTAAACACACTCATTTTGCAGGTCCCCATCGGAAACTATTCCGGCCGCACCCGCGGGAATACATCGCTTCCTGGGGCCGGATATAAATTGCTTTATACTATATGCAAAATATGATATTGTGGTCACTTCTGGTTATCTAGTTTTTCGACGTGCACGTGCTTGTACGTTAAACTAATCAAATTTCGAGAATTTATGGTTTACGTGTAGAGCGGCTAACCTTCTGGTGACAAAAAAATTGGCAAAATGAAGGAAAATCCCTATACAAGCAGTATATCAAAATTATAGGTGTAATAAAGTAATAAAAAGAATAGCTGCGTGAACTCTTAACGTGCCTTATTACACATTATCCACACCAACTGATAATTATTCTGTGAACAAGCCTATTAAGAAACCAAAACCTTTGAATCTCAGAAACTTTAATCCTGGAAAATATCAGGCTAAAAGTCTGACCCGAATTCCGTTAATACGTAACTAAATATGAAAAATAAATATAGGGGATAAGTTAAAGCCGTCCCGTTATATAGGGGCATGAGATGAAATTAATGAATGAGATAGGCAACGTGAATTTTGGTTTTAATTAAGATTAAACAAACAAATTGGCGAAAGTTTAAGGCAACTTTAGCTCGGATAATATTTATTTTGGGGTATTTATTAAAACAGGTTTGCTCAGTGGCGTAGGGGTAATTTCGAAAGGATCGCGCGATTTTATCCATTCGAAATATGAAGTTGTTTTTGGAGGGTTTCTGAAGTCTGAAGAAACTTAATTACAACCGTAAGTTAAATACGCTCTATTCAGCGGTTCTGCTACAATCGAATTTACTTTTTATCTTTTATGTTATATACAAAACTAAACTTATATATAATCGCCTAGTAATTTCGAGATTTAGACAGAATTTTATTAACAAAAGTCATTGAGGAATAAATATCAGTTTTTTAAACCAAGTTTATTACGAAAGTAAATAAAAATTGTTACAATTGTCTTAATAATAGAACAATTAACAAAAAATGGATAATAAATAAAGTGCGAATTGGACGAGAACTGCTATGTGTCAAGTTTTAAGTTGTTAGTTGCTATAAAATGATTTGCATAAGTTACTCCGCGTTACTACCGTACCAGCTCTAATGTTTCTTTTGATTTTATCCCAGTGTTCCATAAGATTAAGATCAGGGGAGCACAAAGGCAACTCTAAAACGGCCACATCTTCCACCACCAAGAAAAATTTTGCTACTCTGCTGGTATGTAAAGGTGCATTATCTGGCATGAATTAAAAAATTGCCAAAAACCACCTCTCCAGATTCTGACTACAGGTTGCAAGATTAAATCAATATTCTTTTGGGAATTAAAAAAGTTGTTTCACCAATCATAATTTCAGGCCAAAAACTTGCTAGTTCGGGATAGATTTGGCAGCATGGATTCTAGCTTGTTTCTCTCTCTCTATCACTTAAAATGCGAATTTGTGGCCCATTAGGCTATTTCTGGTTTTATCCGAAAATAACACACCTTCCCAATCTTCAATAGCCCAACTTCCATGCTCTAAACGCCAACGTCACGATCGCTATACTTTATATTGAAATCTGGAACTCTTAACTGCTTGCAAAAATTGCCTTGCGATGAGGATTTCTTCTTTCTTCTTGCTATTTGAGGTACAGCTACCCTGCCCTTTTGTCGTTACTCCACAACCTCTCCTCGGTCTATTCCTTAGGGTTCACAATTCGAGAAACCTTGAATAGACACGGTAAATAGAGACTAACTTATTAGGCCCTCAAAGGATGGTACATCCCATCATTTCTCGTGGATCTCTATATAGACAAAAATCAAAATAAAAGGAAGCATGAAAAACTTATCTAACTAAAATTCCAAACTACATGTTTCCAAGAAGCTGGGTCTGGGAGGAACAGGATATTGTTAATAGGAAGGGGAGAAGCAAAATTGGCTTTACTAAATAAACTAAATTCTACCACAATCAAAATTCTGTGTAGACTTAACACCTATATGA